ACTTCTTTAATTAGCTAAACAGATCATGATTTTATTAGTATTAATAAAGTGCAACAGTTAATTTCTGAGAAATAAGGGGGTGTCATTTTAGGAGATCTATATCAGTATTGGCGACTTTCCTCTAACTGCAAACGTTCCTATTCGGGATCTGAGACCTCTTCAGTATGGAAGTCGTGTACAAACTACCTGTAGAAGAGAATTCAAATCCAGAGTGGGGAGGATATGTTTGTAATTAACATCATTAGAAGGTACATTCCAGTTGTTTCCGAAATGTATCTTAATCTTATTCTTATATTATGTACAGAGTGTATAAAAAGTACCGGGACGACGAAATATCTCGAAAACTAAGCACTTTACGAAATAGTGTTTCAGATAAAAGTTGTAGGGTTTCAAAAAATCTATTTACTGGCGAAATGAGTTTGATCTTGGGTGCCATCGTCAAGGCCAGGTCAAGGTCACGTTGATTTTTTTAAACGGAACCCCCTATTTTTCATTACATTTTCTTGTAGCTTACCTCGAGAGCTTTTTAAAACACTATATATATATATATATATATAATAAAATATTTTTTCAATAAGTATTTTTCGAATTATAAGGCTTGAAAGTTATAATACAGCCAGCATTAGCATTACGCAAGTTATCCGACCGATGGCTAAAATCTCTTGAATGTTGTTCAGGATGAACATGTCCTGGATAACATTTGTCAAGATCAAGGCCAGAAGATTGTACCTCTTATTTTCATTTTTACGTAAAAATGAATTTTTAGTGCAAAAATGAAACATTTTTCCGTGTCTACCATAATTTTCGAGAAATCTTAATGCATTATTTAAAATGGGACACCCTGTATATAAAAATCATTATATGTATATATTACTTTCAAGTTTTAAAGTCATTAACTTAATTATGTTGAATTAAGACAGAAGTTTTAATTGGCGTTACTTGGTTAGAGAAAGCACTGTTACATTTTCATACTTAATATTTAGTACCTTTTAAACTTTAAGTACCAGTTCCACCAATATCTGGAGTAAGATTAACTTTAATCATAGTTTAATTGTTTTTTTTTAATATTTAGAATTACAAAAAGATAGAGTAAATTGAACCGGGATTAAAATTAATCTTACATTGGTGAAACCGAGCATAAATCTGTTTGCAATGATTCTTAACTGTGAACTAAATTATTGAATAAAATATAGCATTGATCTTTGGACTCAATTACAAATAACACAGGTCTACAAAAAAGGGGGTCTTGGATGTTGTCGGGAAGCTGTGGGTCATTTCCGAAGTAATTTTCTGCGTAGAATCCGAATCTGAAACCAGAATTGGCCCATCACGTCAGGATTTTGAGATATTAGGGGATATATACTTGAAAAATGTGTTTTTATGCTACTTTAGAGGTTATGTACAGGACGCAACCAATTTTTTGGGTCTTTTGTGCTATTTGCATCATTTAGTAATATTCTTACCCTTCAAAATGAGATATTGATCGACTACCTACGATTTTTTTTCGCCAAGTTACGGGCATTTTAACCCACTTGCGTAACCGTTTTTCCCGTCTTTTTCGTTCCTGTTCTTAACAAACGTGAAACGACCACAAATATAACAAAAACTGTTAGGATCATTTAAACACTTACGCGGGGCCATTGTTAAGACAGCAAACAGTCACAATTGTGACTGTTTATATATTAGGACCTTGAATAACGGACAGCGCGTCTTGTGCGCTGCGGCTCTGAGTGCAAGGCGTCTACCAACTTTAAACAAATCATTAGTTTTAAACTTATTAATGCAATGAAAATGAAACTTTCCAGAACATTTGTTCATATCCGAATGAACAACTTTCTCGCTGAAAGTTTTAGGATGCTCGAAATTCGCTCGATAAACGAAGCACCTGAATGCATAAAAAAGGATATTTTGCAGGTGTGTATAAAAAAAATAATAAGTTGTTTGTTTATTGACAAATATCGGTTTTTCTTTCTTCACTAGACGTGGAAAACTCTAATGATCATAACTTCGAAAATAGCAAAAAAACGCATTTTTCGAGTATATATCCTCAAATATCTCAAAATCCTGACGTGATAGGCCAATTCTGATTTCAGATTCGGATTCTACGCAGAAAATTACGTCGGAAATGACCCACAGCTTCCCAACAACAAAACCTTGTTGACCTGTGTAATAATTTACCTGACTGTTGTGACAGGACCTGCATGTCCTCTGAAACGACGCACAGGCATGCCTGTTGCCACATCCCAGATGATTACAGATTTGTCTAATCCGCAAGACACAATCTGACTGCTGTCACAGGACGCGCAAGCGTCCATAACCTCGTCACCGTGTCCACCATATGTTTTCAACGTAACAGATTTGTATGGATTCCATAGCTTTAGCTTCCTGTCTGACCCGCACGTTATGCAATATGAGCCGTCCACTAAAATACCAAACCATGTTTCCATATACATAGCTTTATGAAATTATATTGTATCAAAAGTAAACAAAGTTTCTTACCACTGAACCGTACAGATCTAACGGCCCCTTGTTTGCAGTCTATTTCTTTCTCGAATTTGTACTCAGTATTCATTTTTCTTCTTCTCTTCTTACAACAACTTATATACACTGAAATTTTATAATAATGTTTTTAATATTTCAATTTTGATTTTTTCTGTCTTTAGTGATTAAAGTCTTAATTATCACGAACAGAAGTGCATTTCGTTTGTTGAATACAATTACATATTAGATTACAGTTAATGATTTGATAACAATTTGATGAAAAATAAAAAATATCTTTAAAAAGATCCCTAACCTACTAAATACAAATAAACTTCGGTCTTCGGTACAATAAATATGTTCACATTGCTTGCACCTTTTGCACCATTTTGTACTCGATGCACTCAACCATGGACGCCATATGCTGGATTCACACTGCATTCGATTTT